TAAAATATGTTACTATTAAATGGCAAGGGGCATTCTTTGGGGACATGAGAGCATGAGTGTTTTTCACCACGCTAGTAGATAGTTAATTATTGCTCCCATACCTGTGATTCTGACTCTATGTTGATCCGGTAAGCTTGTGCTTTTCCATCTTCTAGAATATTAGGAGACCAAGTCTTGCCTTCAGCCCTGCAATAGGGAATTAAACAAGAAAATTAAACAGAGAAGTTTAATGAAGAAATGCTTTCACTGGAGGTAATCGAATGCTATTCTGAAGCTCAGCAGAGTTTACATGAACATCACTCAGAAAGAGGTTTGTACCATTTGCTGCCTAAGTTACTCTTGAACCTTTCCACATCATGTGCCTGATAAAGATGACATAGTGCTTCAGTTTCTGTGCACAAATGTATCTTCAGCCATACAAAGCGAGAGTGCTGCAGCAGGCAAATGTCACTGTTCAAAGATTTTCCATGGGCCTGAACACTTTTTCCACGGAGGTGTCCCAATGTACTGTAAGGATTAGCTCACTGACATATTTCTGTTCAGTTCAATGTACTGAGCACGTAGGACCTGCTTTCTGTGTCTGCTGCATTTGTTGGAAAAGCCCCTTGTTCTCCTCTCTACAGCAGAGAATTGAATGGGCATGCACAGGGTCTAGCATATGTACTGATATGTTTCACTGGCATTTCTGAGGCCAAAGAGAGCCTCTTAAGGGGGCTGAAAATTTTCAAAGGCACCTCAGAAACTGAAATGGCATGAGATGAACAGGGACAGGATTTTCAAAAGCACTGAAGTCCCATTTTCAAAAGAGAGGAAGGAATGAATCCTTTGACTTTCAGTGATATTTAAGAGCCTAAGTGCCTATGTCACTTTTGAAAATGGGACTTAGCAGCTTTTGAAATTCTTGGCCCTGGTCTTCTCATGCCATTTCAATTTCTCAGGATTGAATACTAGGATCTTCTATTTGATTCAGTTTTTTTTTAAAAAAAGAACGTTGTATTTACTGAGGTATTTACATGACACGCCCCACCCCTGAATCACTGAAATGTCTAAGTGCCTCCCAAATATTTATCCTCGCAACACTCCTGAGGTAGGATAATATTATCCCCATTTTACAAATGGGGAACTGAGGCTCAGGGAGATCCAGTGATTTGCCGTCCCATAGGACGTCTATGGCAAAACTAGGAACTGAACCTTAATATCCCAGGTACAAGGCCAATGCCTTAACTACAAGGCCATTCTTCCTCACTGCTGAACCCGTGGATCCAAAGGAGCCTACAGTAGCTGTTTCTAACATGTCGTTCAGAGCAGTGTATTTGTTAATAACACGATCAGATCAATATAGCTATTGTGAACACATAACGCTGGAAAAACATTATTCCAATTTTTAAAAGACTGCATTAGTTTGTCAATAACTAATATAACAGTAATCTTCTGCACTTATGTCAAACCTTTCCTCCAAGAATATCAAAATGTGCTAATAGCCAGACAAGCTGAGGCCCATCAAAGTCATAGGAACAGTTTCTTAGAGATTTTTGTATTCCCTTAGTCCTGGAGTCACCAGGAGCTTGATAAAGGTTAACTTACACTGGCTGGTAACAAGACTCCTCCCTCAGGGGCCATTACGCAGCTGGGGAATCACCAGAGCATAACGATCCACCCCAAAGCTCCAGCCCACTCCGCCCCTTCCCCCGAGTCCCCACCCTTACTCCGCCTCTTCCCGCCCCTCCTCCAAGACCTCTGACCTGCCCACTGCTCACTGCCCTCCCCCAATCACCTACCCCTAGCTGCCAAACAGCTGATCGGTGGCTCCCCGGAACAGCTGTGGCTGGTGGGTGCTGAGCACCCACTACTTTTTTTCCATGGCTGCTTGAGCTCCGGTGCACCCATGGAGTTCATGCCTATGGGGCCATGTACCTGGTCTGCAAAGGTTTCTGAACAACTTAGCTCTTTCTGAGGGAATTTCCTTGGGAGGGGATGATAGGGTCCAAAGATTTCATTTTGCCCCAGTCATTTTAACTTGAAGGAATCTGTTGCCTGGGTCTGCCTCTCTCTCTCATCTTCATCATGTGCTTTATTCATGCAACACAGAACTTTTTGTTTAATCTCAGGAGCCACATGCAGATAATTTTTGGAAAATGTGACAAGTTTGTTTAAACTAATAGGTGTAGCTTATTTGCTGCAGCCAAGAATCCCTTCGCTGGACTCTACCCCCAATTTGCCACACACCACAGCTGAATTTCATTTAATTATTTGCAGCATCTCAGTTTGGAAAACAAGAAAGGCACAGTTTTATCCCAGGAATTTTTGACTTGAATTCTTCCCTACTTCCTGTCTTTTTCTAGAGCCAGGGCCTGATCCAAAGCTCAGTGAAGTCAATGCAAAGTCTCCCATGGACTTCAACAGGCTTCGAACACACCCAAAAGCTCCATGCTTTTATTTTTCCACATTGTTTGCTGTCTCTGAGTCTAGTTTTTGCAACACAGGGACACTTGTTATTTTTCATAGCTGGATATTTTACTCTAACAAAACTACCTGTACAGATGCCCCCCAACGTAGGCAATCGTTCCGTTCCAGAAAGCCTTGCGTAACTTGAATTTTGCGTAAGTTGGACACCTATACCCGCACGTTATGCAAAAATTTCCACAACTCGAAAATCCTATTTCTGGCTTATGGAACTTTTTCTGTAAGTGCGAATTTGTGTAAGTCGGGTCTTGTGTAACCCGGGGAGCATCTGTATTATAATGACTAGATGCTGGGGAGAGGAACCCCCCTTGTAACTCAAGTCTGTCCCTAGAAATATTTTACTGTTCAGCATCCCTTGTCCTAGGGGTGGCTGATCCTCCCAGGAATCTTAGCATTCCTAACACTCCTAAGCTTGATCTTTACCATAATCTACTGCTGTGTGTTTGCTGCTCCTACTTTGAGTATTTCATTTTGAGGTGGCAGAACAGGAAAATATCTAGGTACTTTGTTCGAGGGTGTGGTGGGGGGAAAGGACCATCATAATTTCAATTTTTTCCCCCTGCATTAAATTAGTTTGACATTTGTTCAGATGGGAATCAGACAGTTATGAACTTCCTGCTCTGATCTGCTTTGGAGACCAAATGCAATTTAAGAAGAAGCCCTAAGATTGCAACAAATCCAGCAAATAAAAGAGGAAGGATTCATAAAGTGATTTCAGTTCTAAAAGATAAAGTGATAAGCAACAGCATGTTCTCTCTGCCTTAAGCTGCCTAAGGGATATAGTCATCTCTAACTGCCGAACTGTGATTTCTCAGTTCTCCCTGACTCAGGCCTTGGCTACACTTGCAGCTGTACAGCGCTGTGAGGTAAACCTGTCTTCGTACAGCTGAGTAGGGAAAGCGCTGCAGTCTGTCCACACTGACAGCTGACAGCAGTGGCGTGGCCACACTTGCAACATTTGCAGCTGTGTTGGGAGCGGTGCATTATGGGCAGCTATCCCAGCATTCATGTGGCTGCAACGTGCTTTTCAAAACGGGGGGGGGGGGCGGGAGGGGGCGGGAGTGTGACAGGGAGTGTGGGAGGAGAGAGAGAGTGCTTTTTTGGAGCATGTCAGCACTCTATTTTGCAAGTTCTGAACTCCCAGCCCCCTGCTCATTCATTCATTCACTCACTCATTCAAAGCAAACAGCAAACTGTTTGCTTTTTCTCTGTGATACGAGCTTTGAAACAGGCACTTCCGCATTCCTGCAGCCGGTCACAACAATGGAGAGGACTGGTCACTTGACAAGGTGATCAGTACAGCGCTGCAGGTTGATTCCTGGTACACACTCACAGGGGAGAGTCGTAGCCACGCCGCTGTATCTCTTATGCTTCTCGGGGAGGTGGAGTACCTGCAGCGGTGTACCCAGGGAGATACAGCGCTGTAAGTGCCTTGCCAGTGTAGCCGGTCAGTGAGTTACAGCGCTGTAACTCGCAAGTGTAACCAAGGCCTCAGAAACAAAGAGATCCTGTTGTGTGTATTCAAGGTTTCTTTTTAGATGTATCATGAAAGATAGGGTTGGAATTTAGTCCCCAGGTTCACGCATGAAATCCTATCTGTCGCTGGAGCTTTTTAAAAAAAAAAAAAATCAAACTTGAGACTTTTTCTCTATATCAACATGTCTGGCCCACAAGAAAAATGGATTTCTGATTTCAGCTGCATCAGGGTTTGGCCCGAATGGAAGATGATTTTGGTTTTATCACTTCTACCAAATAACTATCTAGAAGGGGCAGCACCGGGCCAAATTCTGATCTCAGTGACACTTACCAAGAGAGTTACTCTGCATTTATACCAGTGTGGCCCAATGTCTATAAGGAGGTGCTGTAGAGCAGAACTAATTGAAAAAACTCCAGCAAATAAAAGTCTGAAAAGTGGAAAATGTTGACCTGTCCAGACAATAAGTCACCCTCAGACACACCCGAATCCCCACAGAAATACCCAATTCCAGGCTACTTCCATTCTACTCTGGGGCCTGCGTGTGCATGGCCTGTCTGCAGATATTCAGTGATTGGGGAAGGGATGCAAGCAGCCTTTATTCCTTTGCATAATCTGCATAAAGGCCAGGCCAAAGTTGAAGGGCTGCTCTCACTGAGCCTACATGGGGGCTCACAGAGCCCCATCAAGGAGAGGTCCTTAGCTCCAATGCCACTCTGCACCTGCCCACTGAATGAGGCCCGCAGCATGCAGAGGGGAGTAAGCCGCACTCCATAAAGAGGTAATAGTAGCAGCCCTATTCCCCCTATTCCCCCAGAGCAGTGGGGAGCTCAGGAAGGAATCTTAGGGTCAGGGCAGCTCCATGCCACCCCCCAAAGCAGGGCTGTGCCTTAAAGCACAATTGAGCCCTTGCTGTATGTAACAAAAATCAGACTTTTCTAATGTAGTAGGGGATATATTAGGCCTCTCGCTTGTCTGTTTCTAGTAGGCTGCTTAATTCACAGCTCAGGGCGGGCAAAGTGTTTTCAGACGTGCTGTATTATATCGAAAGGAATTAAAGTCAGGTATGCGGAAGTCAATACCTTGTATCAACAATGCTCTACTTTAATTGAATATCTTCTACAACTATACTAAGAAAATAATTCTACCTGCATTCTGCCATGCCATCAATATATAGTTCTGTGGGAACAGAGCCATTGACAAGACATTATTAAAAAGCCAGAAGAAACTGTAGTCATCCTTTATCCTG